TGTGTGTGTGTGTGTGTGTGTGTGTGTGTGTGTGTGTGTGATATGTGAGAGAGATTGTTTTCTCTGGGTGAGCTTCTTTTCTCTGTTAACTGCTGTCTGGCAATCCTGTTGTATGTGACGCACACACCCTCTTTTAATGAAGAATGTTTATAGTAAGTAGCAAGAGCTGGACCAGGTTCACAGCTAGCTGTGCAGTGTTGTGCCCCCCTGTGCCTTCACTTGGCTATTTTGTTACTTGTAGATCATGGTCTAATTATTTCCCATTAAAGGGACACTAATTCCGTAGGGTGTGTAAATCGTATTTATAGTACATTTTATTACTCTGCATTCCCTCGTGGTAGTGTAGTGATATCATAACAGTAACATAACATTTGATGCTTGAGAAGGCTCGCCTTGCAACCAAGCTGTATTTTACTTATTCTTTGGTGTGGTGCAGAGGTGGAGGACATACCTTGGAGTGTCTGTGCTTAGTGCAGGGTCCCTGGCATCAGTAAGAGAGAGAGAGAGAGACCTAGTGCTTTCAGTAGTTGGGAAAAGCCCTGCTAGCCCTGTGAGCTTGATGGGTCAGATTTACAGCGGCATGGCTGTGAGTGTATTTGCTGCCTCAGTCAGCTGCCGGAGCTCCCTGCTGGGCCGCCCCTTTCTGACACAACAGCAGCAGCTGGGAAGGTGCTGTTTCAGGCTCTTGCTCTTCAGAGGGGGGGAAAACAGCAAGAGAGGGGAAACTTCACTAATTACAGTGGCTGGCATTGGAGGGGGAGCAGGCGGTCATGTGTCTCTGGCCATCCTACCCTCTGTCACAGAGTAGATGAGAGCTTTTTGCTCCTATCCAATCATGCCTGGAATGCTTCTTGCCACTTGGGCTATTTCTGCTATCTGTCGCTCTTGGTGCCGCCGTGCTAACGGTTTGGCAGATGGGACACTTTTTCTTGGAGTTGGTGTCTTTGGGTTTTGACTTCTGGCATTGCTGGGAGTGTTGTCGCTTGCCCTCTCCCTCCTGGCCCCCCTGGTCACCATGGCCCATCGGCTTCGGTTTCATTTTGGCTCTGGCCGCAGCAATACGGCCC